GAACTTGTTGGCTGGGCAGGGACCCAGCCCTGAGCAGATTGGCCAGACAGGGGGGAGTCTCCTCCCTGGGGACATTCCAGAGCCCTCTGGACACAATCCATGTGCTCTGGGCTGGCCCTGCTGGAGCAGGGAGGTGGCACCAGGTGGGACACTGTGGGCCCTTCCAGCCTGACCCATCCTGGGATCCTGCACCTCTCCAGAACAGTCAGTGTAAAACACAACCCCATAAAACCAAGTTCTCACACAAATGCAGATCCCAGAAATTCCCTTGGCCATCAGCACCTCAAGGAGATTGACTTGATTGCTCAGTAAATCCTTCAACATTATTAGACCCTCTAGGAGAATTCCTTTCCTAAAGCACAGTTCTTTACCTGGCAGGGAGGGCTGAGAACTGGGATTTGGTTATCACTGGGTGTGTGAGAACTACATGATGGGCAGCCAGTAATAGGACCTCGGTTTGGGTCTGGAAAGAGGGAATGCTGAATCCTGAATTTTAAGGATTTAAATGAAATTTAAAAGTTTTGAGGATTTAAATGATTTCAGGACAAAAGGGGCAATACAAAGAAATCACTGGATGGAGGAGCCCCACCAAGAGCGTTGCTGAGGGAAAAGAGCAGCAGTGGAGGGCATGGAGTGACAGGACAAGGGGGAAGGGCTTTAAAACGAAGAAGGACAGGGATAGATGGGATATTGGGAAGGAATTGCTGGCTGGGAGGGTGGGCAGGCCCTGGCACAGGTTGCCCAGAGAAGCTGTGGCTGCCCCTGGATCCCTGGAAGTGTCCCAGGCCAGGTTGGAGCACCCTGGGCTGGTGGAAGGTGTCCCTGCCCATGGCAGGGGTGGCACTGGATGGGCTTTGAGGTCCTACCAATCCAAACCATCCTGTGATGATTTTATTCTGTGATTACATCCCAAATCCCTCAAGAGAGAAGCACGTGAGTAGGTGCAGAGCAGCATCTCCATCTGTATCCCATTCCCAGGAAGGGAATGCCAAGACCCTGCCAAAGCTCTTGGAAGACTCCAGGACTCAGGGGAAGCTCTGAGCAAGGTGCCAGTTGGGGCCTCTCGTCTCCAGGAACACTTTTTACACATCTGGAGCTCCAAATTCTCTTGGTTTACACCTTATTTTGTGCATTTGCTTCCCCCTCCACTCACACAACCCCTTCCTGCAGTGGGAAGTTGCTGTTTCTACGCAGTGGGATGAAATGAAAAGGCAAGACAATAAGTGCAGAAGAAAATCCTGACTCCCAGCTCCAGTCCTGCAGCAAAGGGGATCAACACAGAGGATTTTCAGCCATTCAGCAGTTTCTCCACTGCCCCTCCAGCACCTGAAAAGCCTTGGTGTGTCATACCATGCCCTCAGAGCTTCACTAAGAAATTCCACATCAGCAGAACAAAAGATTTTTTTGTTCAGGTTAAAGAAAAAAAAAAATTCAGGCTAGATGGGGAGAAAAAAAAAAAAAAAAGGAGTAAAAATTTGCCATTTATTTAACAGGCAAACATTGGTTTCATGTGGAATACATTGGGAAAGGTTAGTGCTGAATGTTCTTGGCACTAAACACTCCTTAAAACATGACAGGGGAATAAAAATGGGGAAAAGTTGCTCAGGTTTAACTCAACACAGCATTAAAACTGATCTGTTAATTAGTGGGCAGGAGGAAGAGCCACCCCTTCCCAAAGCACCCAGGGGTGCTCCAGCCACGGCACTAATGATAGTGCTAATTAACATTAATGACAATGGTCAACTTTTGTCAAAGCACGTGGCAGCTCTGGAAGTGGATTCAGGTTATTAATGATTTCACTGCCAAATAGGGCAAAATCTGACCCTGTTCTCAAGGTGAAGCCCTAATTGCACTATGAATTTTTGGCATCTATTCCATGAAATCCAAGCTGGGTTTGACTCTCCAGCATCAAATCCCTTCCATTATTCACGTGGGACATCCAATTGTAGGTTTGAACCTACACGCAGCCCAAGATTTCCTTCCTGGACAAGGATTTCACTCCAAAAATAAAAAAAAATAAAATATTTGGGGACAACAAGCAGAGCCAAATTTTACCCTGTGTTTGGTCAGCTGGGGTACCCCGTGCTTTGGGTGCACAAACCTTCCCAGCACTCCCTTGAAATCACACACTCCCTGTTTCCAGATGCCACCCACATTCCACCACGAGCCTACAGGAGCTCCAGAGACATCCTAAAAATTAGTCTGAGATCTTGAAAATCACAGGGAAGCACGAAGCACTCAGGACTGCAACTCATTTCTTCTTGAGATATTTAATATGTTAATCAGCAAAAGCCTCATCCACTGCTCGTTGAAGTCCATGGGAGTGGTTCCTCCAGCTCCTGGGAGCTTTGAACTAAGCCCTAATTGATTATTAACGTGCTGGACAAGATCTTCTGCAAATAGCTTTAAAATTTACAGAAGGGCTTAGCTGTGGGGTCTGAGATGGAGAGAAAGTCTCACACAGCCCAGTCCTGATCTGATTGTGCTTCCCTACAGGAATAATGGAGAGGCTGAACCCCACTTCCTAAGCAGAAATATTTTTGGAGTATTAAAATCAAAATTTTATTAGTAAATTAAAAATAACCCAAATTTTGGCATATTTTGGCTCATTAAAATGAAGACTCCTGGCAGAATATGCTGTGACAGCAAAACACGAATTCCCTGGGGAGTGGAAGAAAATCACAAAGTAGATAAACGAGGACTGGGAGGAATGGGGTGGTTTTACTGGGATGTCCTAAAGCTCCAGCCCAGGGTCCTGCCTGGGACATTGGGGGGGAGTTTGCATTCCCAGTCCTGCCTGAGATGTCTCCTGAGGGTTTGTGGAGCCCCAAGTTCCACTCTTGGTCTCCACATCTGCCTGTGCAGTGAGGTCCGTGGCTCCCCTGGGCTCTGTGGGAAACAACACCCTTCTTTTTGTCTCAGAGCTGCAGATGGGCATTGAGTGCCCTGGAAGGGACAAGAACAACTCAAGAACCACAAGAGGAGGCTCAGGGGAGACCCGAGAGCCCCTTGCAGGGCCTGAAGGGGCTCCAAGAGAGCTGGAGAGGGATTTGGGATAAGGAAAGAGGGATAGAACCTTGAGCTGAAAGGGGGGAGATTTAGATCAGATATTGGGCAGGAATTGCTGGCTGGGAGGGTGGGCAGGCCCTGGAATAGAATTCCCAGAGAAGCTGTGGCTGCCCCTGGATCCCTGGAAGTGTCCCAGGCCAGGTTGGAGCACCCTGGGCTGGTGGAAGGTGTCCCTGCCCATGGCAGGGTGGTTTAGCTGCTCTCACAGAATTTCCCTTCCTTTATCCCCCTGATGGGAGCAGAAGAGCGACAAACGACACCCTCAGCTGCCAGCCCAGCTCTGCCACAGCACTAAAGCAGCTCCTGCCATCCATGGGATGCAACTGAGAGGGAAATGCTTATAATTTACTTTTTAAATGCAAGGAACAACAAATGCAAGGACAGCTCTTCATACACGTGAAAGATAAAAAGGTAAAGAAATACTCACGTAGATGAGGATTCACTGGAGCTGCAAAACAAAGCAAAAATAAAATGAGCAGAAAGAAAAAAACCTGATTCCTCAAAACACAGATTATCCTAAATTTCCTGTTGTGCCCTTCCCTGTGGCAGGGGTGGAATGAGATGGGCTTTAAGGTCCCTCCCAACCCGAACCCTTCCAGGGTTCTGTGATAAAGAGATGAGCAGAAACAAGTGAGATGTTCAGCTGCCCTGCTTGGTAACCCCTGGAAACTGGTTTATTGTGGTAATTACAACCAGTACCTGGATTAATCAAGATCAAAGTCCACACCCCTGAGCACCTGGCTGGCACAGGAAAAGCAACATTATCTGCAAATATCAGGACTTCACATGGACAGGACTTATTTCCTCTCATTACAGCAATTATTCTCCCTTACTTTTGATAATGCTGGATCAGACTGGAAATGAGTGTCAGTGCAAACTAATAATTATTATCATTTAGGCACTGTTTGGTACCAGTTTCTTTTTCTGGGGCTGGAAACAGGATGATGATGATGATGATGATGATGATGATGATGATCATAATAACAATAATAACAGCAGTCAATAATAACCACAAATAAATACTTTTCTTTCATCCAGAATCTGGGCTGTAACTAAAACTCATATGAAAACAAGCGAGCTGGACCAGAAAGCAACTGGTCACCATCATCTGTGGATAGAAATCATCATCATCATCATCAATTTGTTCTTTCTGTGACAGGGACAGGACCCTGGAATGGCTGGAGCTGTGCCAGGGCAGGCTCAGGTGGGATCTCAGGACAAGGCTCTTCCCCCAGAGGGTGGTTGGCACTGAACAGGCTCCCCAGGGCAGTGGGCACGGCCCCAAGGCTGCCAGAGCTCCAGGAGGGTTTGGACAACGCTCTGAGGGACAGGGGGGATTGTTGGGGTGTCCTGGGCAGGGCCAGGGGTTGAACTGGATGGTCCCTATAGGTCCCTTCCCACTCAGGGTATTCCATGATTCCATGATCCAGCAGCTGCTCTTACAAGAGGCCAACTCTCCAACCCATCAGAGCATTCACATTACCATTATTGACATTTTTTTAACATTTAAAATGAACTATTATTAACATAAGGGAGTTACCACAACTTCTTCAATCTCTGGTTAGCTTTAAAAATATTTAAGTGCACATCAAAAAAAAAAAAAAAAATCAGCTTCAGTGTTTTCACCTCACACACTGAAGTGTTTTCACCTCACACACTGAAGTTTTAACGAGGCTTTACAGCCGGTTCACATCAAACAGCTGGCAGGGATTTACATAAAGTGGTGGAGATGACGCTGAAACTGCTGCTCCAGGATGTACCTGCTGTTACTCTGAGCCATCTCTGGTTACTCTGAGCCATCTCTGCTTTGAATTACCCTCCAAAACGCTGATTAGAGCTCCTCCAGCTGCCCTGCTTGTGTTTCCTTGACAGACGGTGCTCACAGCACAGTAACACATGGAGCTCCCGAAGAACTTGCCAAGTGATGTTTGGCTGGGATTATCAGTGTCACTCCCACTGTGAGAATTGCTCTTTTCTCCCGTCCTTCCATGTGCAGAGCAGAGAATAACTCGTGGCAGGCTCGGGATTTGCCTGGGAAATCCTCGTGCCACGGGTGGAGTTTTGGATTCGCGGCACTGGAAGCTGCAGAGGTTTTATTTTGTATTTATGGCTCCCGCTTGGGACGGCAGGAGATGCATCAAAAACTAATTACTGAGGTTTCTCTGCTTTAGTAATCTCCCTGTTTGGGGTATTCAGGTGGGTAGAGCACTGGGAGCTGTTATTTCTCTGTGTTATTTTTATACATTAGCAACTTCCATGGTCATTCCCAAATTTTCAAGGCAATTTCACATCCAAAGGTGTGTGACCCCATAAACCTGAGCTCACAGGTAGGATTAATGTGGCCTTACATAAGTGGCCTACAAGCTAAGACACCTCATCTTAAAGTGTAACTGGAGCAGTTTTAAAGCCCCTGGAGGGATTTGGGCACGTCCAGAGGGTGGAAAAAACCTGGAGAAGCCTTTTCCTTTTGAATAAGCAACAAACACAATGAACACTCCAGAAATATCCTGTTGATCCTTCCACACTCCATAACTGTCCTACAGAAATCACTTCTGTGTGGCACCAGCTCCAGTTTGTCCTCCTTAAGCTGTCAGAGTAAAACCTGGGCACTGCACGGTCCATTTATCCTCAATTTGCTCAGGAATCAGGCTCAGCTGGAGAAGTTAATGCATTTCTTCAATGTAAAAGCCACATTTTGAGCCACTCTCACCACAGAGTGTCTGATCTGCTTTTCCCCACTGGCTGCATTTCCTTAAGATGGGGCGAAATCCCATTAGGCTGCCAAGAGTCCAGAGAAAAACAAGGCAAAAAAAAGATGTTTGTGGTGGGAATCCTCAAAAAATACCAATCCCTCAGGGCATTTCAAACCTGATAAATGAACCCTCTCACCCTGAGGGTGATGGAGCACCAAAAAGGCTGCACAGAGAGGCTGGGAAGTCTCCAAGGCCAGGTTGGGTGGAGCTTGGAACAAACTGGTCCAGTGGAAGGCGGGCAGAGGTTTGGAACAAGATGGTCATTAAAACCCTTTAATCCAATCCATTATGGATTCCAAGACTCTGGGACAATTCCCTGGGTCCTGGCTCTCCAAAAAGAGAATTCCTGAAGGGGTGGGGCAAGGAAGGAGGACTGGCACTGATGGAGGCCAGTCCTGCTGTGCTGCTCCAAACTGAACACGCAGGGACACACTCGCCCCAAATCCCACTGAACACAGGAAAATGCAAATCCCCCCCTCCTGGCCTGAGGTCTCACAACTTAAAAAAAGGGGATAATGGGAGAAAAATGTAAAAAAAAAAAAAAAAAATGCTCTTAATTCTTTTCAGGAACATTCTCCTGCTGCCTTTTGTTGCCTGGGTTTTGGACAGGATGGCTCCTCACACTGCTGTGGGTCGGGTGCTGTGCATCCCCCCAGCCCACTGACTGCTTCTCCAAGATTCCAGCTTTTCAGCTGATGACCATTGGATTTGCCCTGTAATAAGGTGTGTGAGATCATTATTTCCCAGATGGAGCCATAACATCCATAACCCAGCCTGGGGACAGTTTGCTGGCACCACTCAGGGGAGGGAAAAAACGGGGATTTTAAGCACACAAAGCCTCAGTGGCTCTGGGATCCCTCCTCAAAGGGAAGTCACCTCTTTGGGAAACATCTGGCTCAGGATTTGTGAAGCTGGGAATTTGTCAGCTCCAAAAGCAGCCTCTTCCCCCCTGCTGGGTGTCTGGGTTTGGTGCTGGCACCTCCTCAGCACGGGGGGCTGTTCACATCTGCACCGGTGGCAGGGAGCAGCAGAGACGTTGGCAGGAGACAAAACACTCCTTTTATGCTGCCTGGGAATGTTCTCCCTGCCAGGCAGGGGCTGGAAAAGGGAATCACAGCGTGTTGCAGTGAAACCCCCAGCTCAGTCACGGCCGAGACCTCAATCGACCTCCGGAGAGCTGCCAAAATACTGACACCACCAGGGAGGAGCAGCAGGGACTGAGGAACCAAAAGGGTGGTTTTTCTCTCCTTATGGGAGCACTGGTCAGGGCATAAGGCATGGGGGGAATTTTGGGGTCCATGGGAGAGGGCAGTGGCTGGTTGTGAAGACAAAATCATCCCCATCACACATCTCCAATCCCAGTGTCCACTGGAAGATAAACATTTCAGATAAATCCCCAGAGAGACTGGGTTTGCTGCAGAGAAACCCCAAATATCTGGGTGAAGCTCCTGGTCCCGACTTTTGGGAAGGCTCTGAGTCTTTCCCTTGTGTGTGTGCAAAGGGACCAGACTCCTACCAGCGTCAGGAGACAGGGACTGGTTAGGGCAGAGGGGTCCAACAAGGAGCCAAAGTGCCACAGGCGCTGCAGCAGAGCCTCCATCTTCTCATTTTTGTGTCCATAGATTTAAAACCAAGTCATCCTTGTTTCTCCCTTTTATTCCCATCCCTGGAGGTTTCCAAGGCCAGGTTGGATGGAGCTTGGAGCACCCTGGGCTAGTGGAAGGTGTCCCTGCCCATGGCAGGGGGTGGAATGGGATGAGCCTTGAGTCCCTTCCAGCCCAAACCATTCCATGAGTTTGTTATTCCAAGTCCTTCCTTTAGCTGAGGTTTTGCCCTGGGGAGCTTTGGGAAATGTGGACTTTGCAAACACTTCCCTGTGGCAGGTGGAACTCGAGAATCCCCCATCATTCAGTGAAATGGGCCCCTCCACCCTTTACAATTGGTATTTGAGGGGCCTTAATGTGATTTTTTTTCTCCTTGACATTAAAACAGTGATAAAAATAACTGCTGGTGAGATTGAGGAGGGCTGAGCTCATCACTGATCACGAAGAATTGCACATGGGATGCACCAGACATTCAATTTTGTTTTTTTTTCAGCTTTGTTCCCTCCTTTGTCCAGTAGTGATTTTGGAAAGCAAATCTTGATGTGTAGGTTGGTTTGAGGTCTCCTGCTGAGTGGGATGTCCTGCTTTGGGCTCTCTGGGAGCGCTAATCAGTGCTGGATCCAGCTCCTGGAGCAACTGGAGCTACACTTGGCCTGTGTCCACAGGGCTTCTTCCCTGTGGAATTGCCAACATTCCTCATGAAAGGATTGTGGAATGGTTTGGATTGGAAGGGACCTTAAATCCCATCCAGTTCCACGCTCTGAGCAATCTCCTCTCCAAGGTACCTCCTGCCCTTCACTGCACTTTTTACAGCAGAAAAACAAACAAACAAAAGAGTCAGTTATTCACTAAATAAATACCCTGAGAAAGGTACTTTGAGGGGTTTAACAGAGGAATTAATTCCTGGGAATACGGGGAGACTGCATGGAAGGATGTCCAGAAACCCTCTTTTTCTTGTTAGATTCAAGTGGACAAAACTTGGGGATTTGTAACCTTTCAGAGGAAAATGTGTAAATGCCCTTTGTGTTATATATCATTTAAATTTATACATTACAGAAACTTGCATGGGACTAGAAACAGTCACCTTCTTAAAAGAACACAATTCACAGTAAAATAATTCACGTGAAAATAATTAACACTGAAATAAAACCTTCTCCCTAGCGCTCACTCTGAGGGGGAAAAAAAGGCATTTTGATATCACAGCGCTGTTTTGACAACTTCAAACTGTTTGTTTTGTGGATTTTTCTTCAAAATGCATCATCCTTCAAAGAGTTCCGAGTAAGAACCAACTCGAAATGAGCTCTCAGAAATCAACACTAATTTATTCTATTTTTCCCTTGATTTCAAAAAAAAAAAAAAAAATTGGATATGATTTTGCATTTTGTCTGTTCAGATGTTTTCTGGCTGTTTGCTTTTTGTTGTTATGAACCTTCCCAGTGGTGAAGGCTTTAATTTCTACTCAATTCTACGCCACCCCTCCTTCCTGGATGATGGTTGATGGATTGTTTCCGGATTGGGAATGTTCAGCCCCAACAAAACACTTCCTTGCACACCAAAGTTCTTACCGCTGTATTTGATGACCCGAATCGTGGAGTCCCCCTCCCCAAATCTGGTGATGGGTGTCAGTCTGACCTCGTAGGCCTCTGGCTTGATGAGCTCGGTGAGGTTGTAGGTGATCAGCTCTCCCTTCTGGATGTTCCCGTTGACGGAGATCTCCTGCTCCCACCAGCGCTGCTGGCCGGCCTGAAACCACAGGGACAATTCCAGGGTCACAGGATTTTGGGACAGGTTCTCTCCTCACCTTAAAAACAAGTGGGAACGCACACACAGACCTTCAAAGCACCCAGAAGGGTTCCAGGCACGACACGACCAAGAACCTCCTCTAAATAACCCCCCTGGGCGTTTCCAGAGTGAACAGATGACACCAACAATTGGGAATCCGTTTCATCCTCCTGTCCTCTCCCCACAGAAGGCCCTGCCCCAAGCCTGGCACAGCCCACTGGCACTGGGATGTGCTTTGGAGCAAGAAAAAAGCAGATTTAACCCAATTCAGGAGGATTTTGGACACTCAACACCCAGGGACAGCAAGGGATCATCACCTGGTCTGTGATGGCAACCCAAACACTCCAGAACAAGCTGGGGCATTTTTAAATCCTCACTAAATCCTCAATTTCTTCAAAAACCGCCTCCTTAAGTTTAAACCCTGCTTGTAAAAACTGTTAAATAACCTTTATTTTTTCCTCTCAACATTGCTGCTAGTTTAATCTCATCCCATCAGCTTCCCCAGGGGGAATTTTCTCACTCCAAAATGTTATTCCTTCCAACCTGAGCAGGTAAATGGACTCCCAGGGCTTGTATCCCCGTTCCCTCTATGATTTTAACACAACATTGGCCAACTGCAAAGGAAAATGTGTTTTCTTTGCTGGGAAAGCCCCGATTTCATGGATGGGGAGGTGCCTCCTCATGAGGACCAACGAGTTTTTGAAGGAATTCAGAGATAAGAGTTTGATTTCCGACCACTTCTGTTGATGAGTGAGGAAGAAATAAGTCATTAATGACCTTAATGCATAATTAGCAGCAGTCCCTGCAGTCCCACAGGTGGCTGGATTTCACAGGACAACCAAAGTCAAAGCAAACAAAAAGTAAAAAGCAAAGTCAAAAACTGCAAACCACAGGTTTTTTTGGGGGGGCTAATTCCATGAGCTCCCCATATATTCATGGACAATTATTCATTACATTTTATGATGTTTTATGTTTGTTTTTTTTTTCCTGGAAAAAAACACAGGAATTAGAACAGAGCTGGTGGGAAAAGGGAAAAAAAAAAAAGGTGTTGCTTCCCATGGAGAAATCCCAATATCCAGGAGAGGCTTAAGAGGCACAAACTGAAAGGAAAAATCAAATTGTTTTGTTTTCAGAATGGATAAAATATTGGAGCTGCTCTGTTGCTCCTGTTTGGGTGGGGGAGAAAAGAGGGAACAATTCCAGCAATGGCAGAATTTGATGTGAATTCGGGGCTGGTTTTGGGTAATTGTGAATTTGAATCGTTAATTCTTGGAATTATTTGCTGAAGTCTCTCTGTTTCTGCAGTTGCTGATCCAAAGACAAGGTGTAATAGGGAATATTTTCACAGCAGCTCATTGTAAGGAATCAGAAATAATTCTGGAATCTCAGGAATTTCAGTATTTTGCCACTCTTGGATATTGGGATTTTTCCATAGGAAGCAGCACATTTTTCTTCCCCCTTGCAATCAACACCAGCTCTCTTCTAATTCCTATTTTTTTTTTGCCATGGAAGCCAGAAAAAATCCACAAAACATCACAAAATTGTCATTTGTTTTGACAGCAAACAAACCTCTGCCTGATTTTTCAGCTCAGCTGTTGAATAAATAAATAAATAAAGGAAACATCCACCCAGTTTTCACCGCATTGCACTTTCAAGCTTTTCTCTTTCCACCTGGAATATAAAGCCATCCAGGGAGGAATCGCTCCAGGACATCCCTGTGGGAGCCTTTCCAACACATTCCCAAATCTGGTGTGAAACACCAACAGCACCCTCAGCTGAAAAATCTGGAAATAATCGACAATAAAGGTAGGAATTGAGCTGAAAAACAGAAAAATATTTGAAAATAAATATAAGTACTGAGCTGAAA